ATTCCACAAGTAAGAAATAAAATAATTTTATTATCAAATGTTACTTTATTTCCGGATTAGTTTGTTTCAGCTCTGATCATTATATTCACTTGTCTGAAGAAGTAACATTTTTAAAATTTATTTTAAAGTTTCATTTGTAAAAAAAAAAGCTTTTATTTGAAATATTATAAAATTTTAATGAGGAGTGTATTACACTACACATTTGCAGCTTACTATGCTGTTTATGTACATTAAGAAACAAAAATAATTTTAAATAGAATCGCTTGGCTCGCAACAATATGTTAATAGGTCGGCCAAGGTCGGCCTAACAATTGCCAAGCGATTGTTATAAAGATATTTTATAGCCTTTGTTTTTATTTAAACAATTTTTCTTTGCTACTGTCTATGCTTAGTGGATATTTTAAAAGAAAAGTTTTTGTAGAGATATGAAAGTATATTTTTTTTATTAAAATGCCATTAAAACAATTTGTTGATTGTCTATTGTACTCTTACATATTTGTTTACCTTTTCACCAAATAAGCAGCACTGCAACGTTTTGACAATAAGTTTAAAAAAAGTTTGCATCTCAAAAGACATTTGCTAGGTACCATTTTTGAGTAATAAGAGTAGAAAATAATTGCTTGACAAAATTAAATTTTCCGCTTTGCAAAATCTGTAATGATTTTTTTAAATTTTCATTTCTGTCATTTCACTCTCTAATACTTCTTCACTCAAGTAAACACTTCTTTTTGGTGGGCATTTTTAAAAAAATGTAGAACATGTGTGGAAAATGGTAAGGTATGTATTGTATGTTGCAAATAATTTTTAAGATAAGCTTACATAAAGAACTTGAATGTTTTTGCGACGAAATATTTTTAATAATTTTTAAGTGCTTATCTTTGCATATGTATCTAAGGAAACAATATATTTTTATTTCAAAATTTTCTTTTGTTATAAAAACTTTTTCCTTCAACCTTCTTTTTAGAAATTTTAAAAAGAAAATAATAAAGAATTGCAGTTTTAGAAAACTTTTCGAATACAAAATGAAATGATCCATTTCTAAGATAGACATGTGTAACAAATATTTATCTTAAAAGCTTAAATGATTTTGTGATTCAAATTCTTTTCATTAATTTTTTAATTGTTGATTATGTCTTTACATAAATGTCATGTCATTTTGCAAAAGTCCTTTGTTGTAATTTTGTTTTTCATTGTTAACTGTAAATTTTAAAATTTTATGATAATTGTTTTAATAGTAGCGTTTATAAGCATTGTAGAAATGTCTCTAATTTTAATAATTGCCAAGTGATTGTTAAAAATATACTTTTTTTTGACTTTCTTATAAAATTCATTTTTGATTTCTGTGTTTAAAAGATTTGAAATAATCTGTCTTTTGCAGTAAAATGCGTCTTTAGCATTGTTTTAAAAATTTCCATTCCATAATTGCATATTAGGTCCCTTTGTACAAAGATAACACTTCTTTCTGAATGTCATAATTAATAATGTTTTTAATTCTGAAGCAACGCGTGAGGTATTATTATAAAGATGGACAAGAGTAGAAATTATTTATATGAAATTTTTCTAAATAAGTTTTTTAAATGTATTTTGTAATCAATACACTTTTAGATACTTTCCCCCCCCCCAAAAAAACAAAATTTTTAGACTGAAAATTTTTGAAAAATTCCCAATTGGAAGTAAAGAATAAGGTGCCATTTTAAAGATAGATACGAGTAAAATTTTTTACCTGAGAAATCAAATTATCTGTGATGCAAATTCTTTTCATAACTTTTTATGACATTACTTATTATAACATTTTTCCTCAATGAACAGTGCTCTAAAAAACGTACCAGCCTGAATAACTTTTGATCTAATGAACGGATCCTTACTTTTTATGACTCAATCTCAATGGTTCGAGGTTTATGGTTTTTAATTAGGTTATTAGTTAGCACAGACGATTAAGTTACGAAATCAACTATTACGAAATCAGACGCAAAAACGTACTTTTTCTGAATAAACATAATATTTTTTTTAACGGATTTGGATTTATTTCAGATAACCAAAATATAGGAGGTAACCGCATCTGAGAAATATGGTCTCCATAGTTTGATCAGGAGAGAGTTTCAAAGTTTGGACCCCTTAATGTTAATTTTATTATTTTTGAGAACTTTATGTCGAGAACTTTTTAAGCGAAATGAAAACTTTTGCTGATAGTTATAAAATTTATTTATCCAAAGATTATTAATTTTTATCCAGTCCAAAAAAAATTTTTTTTAGTGAACATTTATTATTTTTAGTTATTTTAATTACTAATAAACGAAAAAAAATGTAATTGTAAGGAATAAATTTTTTATATTATTTTAAATTATATAATTAAAATTATATTACATAAATTATATTAATTTTAATTAAATTTAAATATAATTATAATATTAAAGTTATATTAATTTAAATTAAATTTAAATATAATTGTAATATTAAAATTATATTAATTTAAATTGTATTATGTAATTTTACATGACAAAATACAAAATTTGAATAAAATAGATCAATTAGTTCCTGAGAAATCGAATTTTAAATATACGACTTTTTTAAAATTCAATTTCTCAGGAACTATTCGATCGATTTCACTCAAATTTTTCATTTTGCCGTTTTAAATTAGATACTTTAAAGTGTTATAAAAATTGTATACCTTGCATTTAAATTTTTTTCTAACATTATTAAATAAAATAATAAAAAATAATAAATGCTTAGTAAAATTTATTTTCTGCACGGAATTATCTTCGGATAAATGAATTTTATAATTATCTGAAATTTTTTTTCAATTCACCTAAAAAGAAACCGGAATTCGTCGCAAAAAAAGGTATGTTTATTTACAGAAAGTACGTTGTGTCTGATTATGTAACTTAAAAATCGTTTGCACTAATTAATTAGCATATTCGAGGTAACCCCTTCGAACCATTAAGACTGAGTCATAGAACGTAAAGATCAGATCATTAGATCAAAAGTTATACAGGGTGGTCCTTATTTTTTGGCTCACAGTACATAAGTGTAAAACTTTGAGTTAAGTGTTTAGATGTTTGCTTAAATTTAAAAAATCGAGTTGAAAATATCTTTATTTTAAACGCTTTTTAAGTCAATGTCATGATGTGAATATAGTAAAATGTAACTTTAAAATTAATTATCCCAAATTTTTCTCTTTAATATTTCTTATGATATAAATCTCAATGATCTAAAATAATATAAATTATTATTTAAATTCCGAAAACAATAAAACAAAGTTGTTGTCAATATGTTTATGATGGTTTTCTTGTAAAATTTTAAAGTTTTACGATAAGAAGGATATTGCCAATATCACGTTACTTTAGATAACAGCTTTCGGTAGTTTTTTGGAAAAATATGCTATCTATATTTTTTATTTAATCAAACTTCAATGAATTCGTTTAAACTGTGTCTTCACTTAGCGCGATAACAATTGCAATCTAATATTAACTATCCTAACTTTTATGTTTTAGTATTTCTTATAATTAAATGACTCAAATGATATAAATTATTTAAATTCCGAAGACCATGTAATTTTTTTTTATCAAGCAGGTTTTTGATGCTATGTTTGTAAAATTTTTAAAATAGTTCTTGAGTTATAGCACAACTCACGTTACACTTTTCCGTTGTTTTCTAGAAAAGTAAGAAAATTTGCATATTTTGATGAATCAAAATTCAATGACATTGGATTTTATTTTTCTCCACTACATTCTCACTAAAGGCATTAATAAATTCTACTTTTCCCTATATTCATAAAATGAAATAAAAAATTTTAAACCACTTGCAGATTAACCGGGTTATGTTTTATATAATTTCAAATAAACATTATTTTTTATGTTATTTAAGAATTTTTTTTATCTTATAAATATTAAAATAAGAATTAGTACAACTAATACGCAATAAAAATCAGTTGAAATTTATATATTTTACACAAATTACAATTATGGGGCCCAATAAACAGAGATAAAACAATATGCTGGTATATAGAGTTGGGTGATACATCAATGTATCGGGAAATAATGATATTTTTAATAATCGTGATAACGATATTTTAAACTGCATTCGCACGATATATTGAGAATTACATATCTTATACGATAGTTATCGAGTATACCATAATTCGATAACTATATTTTTATCAACGGCAATAAATATCGAATATGATAGATAACATCTGGTATATTATTAACGATAACGATAATTATTGAATACGATATTTTTGTGATTGTAACGAAGATTTTATAACCGCTGTTGAACATCCGACCCCAAATTTTGAGAGTTTAAGGCTACCACTGTTCAACTCTGTAGCCTTGTAATTTTGAACTCAAACCAGAAGACAAGGGAACTTCTGGTTTGCATCAGAGGTATTGATTTGTTATAGGAACTTGTAGGACTTTGTGACCCAGCCAGAGTTAATGTGCACCAGTCACCATTTAATACACGAGGATTCTTTGACCGGCTGGATTCGAACTCACGTTCTCACGAACAAGAGTCCAACGCCCTACCAACCAGTCTAATCCAACCCGCAACGAAAGTATAAACCAATGTAATTGTAATGTATATTTCTTAAACTGGAAAAAGTTTGTGATGTATCGTGCAATATCAGTATTTTGAACAAAATATCGCGATAATAAATTTCTATTATCTCCCAGCACTAATAATGTGTTATATTTTATACTTACAATAAGTAGATTATAATAATCAGTTATAACGAATACAAAATAAACTGTGTTTCTTTAGCAACTTTTCCTTATTAAAAATAATAATCTTTTTTTTCTTTCCAAAAGAATATTTTTCGGTTGTCATTTTTAATAACTAAAGAAAAGGAACTCACAAAAGAGTAAGTTTGATGCTTTCACTGCGTAGCACAGAGAAAAATCGAATTGGCTGGCTTGGCGGGAAAGTTCACTTTCACTGGGCATTCAAATTTAAAGCAACCATTTTCGCCGTGGCTCATAATCGCCGTGAAACTAGTAACCGCAAAGCTGCTTATTGACAAGTTCAAAGGATCTTCGACTCCCGAGTGTTTTGGAAGCTTGAGAAGGATTCTGCTCTAGGTGGGGGTGTTTCAGGTGGTATGTTTTCTTCTCTCCATCAGGGGGAGAATCTTCTTCGAACGTTTGGACATTAGATCAGATCAGATGCGGCCTTTGGCTGTTTTTCTAAAGTGAAAACTAGCAGCTGATTTGTTATTGAAATTTTTCATAATTTTGAGCAATGAATGCCGCCGAGTTGTCACCTCACTGCCGACGTAGAAGCGTTTTAGACGGCTATAAAGAAGGCGATTTTCCCGTCAAGAGAGAACCAGATGAAGATTTTAAGGTAGGGAATTAAGTTATTAAATTCTGTACAAAATACTGACCACTTTTTTCATAAGTTAGTTTTGGGAAGTATAACGTTACTGAGTTAAAAAAAAAACAAGTTTTCATTATACTAACTTGAAAAACTCGATTATTTATGTTTGAATCATTATCCGTTTACACGTGTTCAATAGTCGTTGAAACCAATAGTTATTCAAAGGGGATTTTATAATTCAAAGGGAGCTACACTATGGTCCCACCGACCACAAATTTAAACTTTGTTAATTTAAATATCTTTTTATGAACGTGTCTTTTTTATAAAATGTTATAAAAAGAAATTCAAAGGGAACTACACTATGGTCCCACCGACCACAAATTTAAACTTTTCAAATTTAAATATCTTTTTATGAACTTGTCTTTTTTATAAAATGTTATAAAAAGAAATTCAAAGGGAACTACACTATGGTCCCACCTACCACAAATTTAAACTTTTTAAATTTAAATATCTTTTTATGAACTTGTCTTTTTTATAAAATGTTGTAAAAAGAAAATCAAAGGGAACTACACTATGGTCCTACCTACCACAAATTTAAACTTTTCAAATTTAAATATCTTTTTATGAACGTGTCTGTTTTATGAAAGGTTATAAAAGGAATTCAAAGGGAACTAACTACACTATGGTCCCACCGACCAGAAACTTAAACTTTTTTTAAAATAAAATCTCTTTTTATGAACGTATCATTTTATGAAAATATATAAAAAGACATTTTCATGACTGAAACAAACCAAACACCGTAAACAAAAAGGGTCGCTTATTATTTCGTAAATTCAAAATATAATAAATAAATAAATAAAAAACATAACATATCATATATTTCCTTGAGAATAAATTAAGTGTATTGTAGGGTATTAAGAGCCTTATGTAATTAGGCTATTAGGAATTTTGAAGCCTGTTAAACCGTAATACAGTTCAAATTTGTTGTACCTTAATATGAAGTTAAGTTAAACCACATTATGATCTTTTTTAAACTTGATTACAAGATACTATGGTTCAAATTGAACAGAAAAATGGATTATTCAACACCTTGTTACGGCTATAGAAAATTTGCACTGTAATTTGACCTCACTTTGAGTTTATTATTATGAGATTGTGCAAAAAATAATAAGACATCCCCTAGTCAAAATTATGCGAACATTGTTTGAGTTTTTCAAATTCGAAAAAAAAATAGAGGAAATTTTTTGGGGTGTTTATAATTTTTTTCCTTACATTGAACAATACATATATTATGTTTAACAAAACCTTTATTATATTAAAATATTTCTTACAATACATTAAATTCTTTTGTGATGTTGGGAATTTGGTTCATTTTTATGACACAGAAAAACCACACAATAAGAGTTTTACTGTACCAAAAAAGTTCCAGACATCTTTGGTTGTCATCAGCGCATAGTAAATAAAAATTATAAATCGTTTTACCTGTAAAATACTAGTTTGATTCTTAGTAAATGTATTTACATGTAATATTTATTCATTATCCTGTCTTATCTATTATTATTACTGTTTTGAACTTTTATTATTCTTTACAATTATAGGCTTGATAGCAAAAGAATTTTTATTTCTTTATAAAGTAATTACACTATATTACTTTATTATGATTGTTTTATAGTAAACATATTTAGCTACTGTTTTGAAATTAGTAAACGGTAAATAAGTAAAATATACATTTTGATAAGTTATTATTACTTTTAAAGTAAACTTTATTTGACACTATGATCAATTAGCATACTCAATCAAAAATATGGAATGCAAAATAACTATAGAAATTCTGAAGCAAAGTTAAAAATAAATTTATCTCACTATTGATAAAAAAAATTTTTTGGAAAAAAATATTTAAATAGTTTATATTCCTTCTTTCTTCAATGGCGTGACAGCCCAGCGTGGGTCTTAGCCTTCCGTAAAACTCTATTTCAAACTGACCTATCTTTAGCCTTGGCTCTTCGTCCGGTTACTTTGAGAACGCTCAAGGTCACTTTCCAAACAGTCTTATCTATTTGAGTCTTGGAGTTTTTATAGTAATTAAAAATTAAAAAGGAATTTTAAATTACTATAATAAGTAATTAAATGAGAACTTTAATGCTTATTAGAAAGAACAATTATAGGAAAATCTTAATTAAGGAGTTTATTAAAAAAAAAACTTAATTGCCTCTACCGATGTTTTGGATGCTTAATTTAATAGTGTCGAGAATAAAAAATTAAAGAAAAATAATTAAATATTTAAAAAAAAAAAGATAAAATTCACATATTAAACATAAGGAATGAACATTTCTTAAGATTAAAACTTTCATAGATTAGTCAATGAATCTAGCGACACTTTTTAAAAACAAATTATTGTCATTGAAAAAATAGCAGAAAAGTAACACTATTTATTGATTTCCATTATATATTATATTATCAACTAACTTAAATGTGGTGAAAATGTTACACAATATTATATATATTTTTCTTCCATTTTGAGAAGATTATACTTAAAAAAAGTTAAGGAAGTACTAGGATTATGCATTCTATTTATGAGAAAAGCAAATTGTCACCGTCAAATACGTATCTGTACTTTAAAAAAATATAACAGCAATTTGTGTTACAGTAAATGAAAAAAAAACAAACATTAAGCGATTCTGTTGCTGAAGACTATCTTCAGATGTAGTTAAATCGTAGGTTAAGTCCTGTTACCATTGAAAAAAAAACTCTCATGATCCGCCCCCCCCTTGTAACAGGAAATTGCTGCTTAACTACCCGATTCACAAGTCACAAAAGATAATTTTGTTTAAATACTTGTTTTTAAGTTGGATTCAAAATTGCATAAAAGATATGACAAGTATGCATGGTTTTTTAATCTAAGGCTCGTTAATTTTAAAAAGTATTAAAAAAATAAAGTAATTTGAAAGTAATTATTAAAGTAATTTTAAAAGTAATTTTAAAAGTATTCTTTGAAGACGCGTTGTTTTCTGAACTGAATTAAAAAAGTTAAAAAACAAAAAGAGAATAACGTCACTGTTTCACGAGAAACTCGAATAAATTTGTTTTCCAATGTTAAAATGTTTAATTTCAATGTTTAAATTAAAAATGGGAAATTTTTACGAATTTTAAACCGCATAATTATTGTCTTCTATTACTTTCCATTGAAATACTGGGAGAGAAATATTTGCAACGCTATATTAAAATATTAAAACCGTCGTTGAACAGCTGGCCCAATTTTTAGTTTACGACTTCCAATGTTCAACTCCGTAGCCTTGCAATTTTGAACCCAATCCAAAAGACAATGGAACTCCTGGATCACGTATTGGGGGAAACTTGCTTTCGTGGAAGACTTTTTGATTGAGCTAACACACTTTGCGTTACATGGAGAGGAAAACCACGAAGAACCTCCCAAGGTTAGTCTGGTGGCATACGTGGTATAAGGGAACTCTAACCCATTATCCCTTTACCATTGAGGATATTTTTCGTCAACACTGTGATTGGTGCGAGCCGGGAATGGAATTTGTATCGACCAGCCATTGCTGAGATTGTAACTCGGGACACCTCATGGGGAGCTAAGTGTTCTATCCTCCGAGCGAACACGGCTCTTACAGTGCTGTAGTCATTATTTCTATACTCATAACTCATTGATTTTATTACCTTAAGCACATATTGTTGGAATAGAATTTGCAGGATATTTTCTTAAAATATGTCATCAGAAATTTTCTATCTTAATNAAAAAAAAAAAAAAAAAAAAAAAAAAAAAAAAAAAAAAAAAAAAAAAAAAAAAAAAAATGTAGGAGCAAAAAACTAGCTTATTCTGGAGAAAAACATATAAGTTTTTAAGAACCATAAGTTTTTTCTGGAGAAAAACATATTTCCCAGAAAACAATTTTGGTTGCAAATTGCGAATTCGTGTTCAACACACCAAAGAACATAAATATACAAAAAATAAAAACTTATTCCGGTTAACTTCCATTTAATAAAAATTAAATAAAAATATCTGAAAAATTAAAAATATTCTGAGAGAAAGGGATGAAATGTTTATGAAACCAAAACAGAAATATGTCATTATTATTCGTGAATCAGAAATTTTTTTAGATAATTAAATAAAATTAAATTCATTAATTAATGTCTGTGTAGACATCTAAATTGCATATGTGATTTTTTAAGGTAGTCAAAGATAAATAAACTATTACATAATTTAGTAAGAATGATAAATATTAAAAATCAAAAAAGAACTCATTAAATAAGAAAAGTTAAATAATAATTAAAATAATTATTATATTTCGAGTTAACTTCTTTTTGTAATTCTTCTTCGTAGGATTTATTTCCTCAGTTTAAATTATTCCATTTAAAATGCCTTTATTATTTTACATAATTATTATAAATATTTAGCATAAACCATAATTTCTGAAATAATTTCTTATAATTTCATTATTTCTTAATATATTATTTCTCTCCTAGGAGGTAAAATAGAGTGAAAAAGAATCCCTTTACTTTTGTGAAATTAGTACAGGTTATTTCTTAAATATGTATTTGATTTTATGATTTGCTTATTTGATGTTTCAAATGAATTAGTGTCATTTGCATGTGAGTACAAGATGGTTCAGATTGATGCTCTCATTTCAGAAAATTCTTTAGTTTTATCCTAAATTCAGTTTTTTTCCGTTCTTGATCATTTTCTAATGAATAAAGTTTAAAATAATATTAAAAAAAAAACTCATACCGTACTCCGAATTTATTTTTTTGAATAATAAAATAGTAGATAATAGAATTTGTCAAAACGTGTCCATCAGTTGAGTTTTGAAACCAGTTATAGTTTAATTGTGATACTTAGTATTTTCGTCAGTAACAAAAAATTTCTTTAGCATCTGATTTTAATACATTTTGTTTAAACCATTTCCTGACTTTCTATGTGTAAAGAAGAAAAAAAGACAGCCAGAATTTAAATATTAGTCTGATTTTATACTATTTCAAATATTTAGCGTTTTATTTATCGATAGAAT